GGGGGGGGACAAAATAAGCTTTGTATCTTTAAGTGACAATTTCTCGCATAGACAAAACGTAAATTATAATGTTTTTGCATATGACGTAATGGTTCCAAATTGTCAATAGTTATTTCAATCACAAAGTTTTTATGAAATTTTCAAGTTTTCTTATTTCTTCAGTCTTCCTATGATTCGATCCATTCACTCGGATTAAATTTCGCCTTAAAAATGATTTTTTAAATATGAACAACGAATTGAAATTTGATTTTTTTTTTTTTTTTTGATTTAAGTTCGTCGTTCAAATTGACCATTAAAATTCAAAACATAATGATATAATGAATGAAATGAAATAATAATTTAAAAAAAATTTTTTTTTTAAATATTACAAGAAAATAAAAAATTAATAATTAAAACGTAAGGAACAAGTGCTCACTGTTAAAAAAAAAAAAAAAAAGGAAGAGAACAAAAATTTATCTTTGAAAATAGTTCAAATAATTTATTAACGTGCCAAATTGTATGTAAAACCATTTAATACTTAAAAAACTTAATATATATATAAAAATGAAAGTAAAAGAACTTTTCTTTTCTTACTTACCTCCCCTCTTCGTTTTGCATTTCGTTTTGATAAACATCCAAACTATTTTCATAATAATTATGTAAATAGTTTCCTACAAATTCAGCATTTTTAAGCTCATTAATTATTTAATGAATTTCATCATTTAATATTTTAAAATGAAAATAAATCATAATTAAATAGTTTGAATATTTAAACATAAAAAGATTTTAATATATAAAAAAAACTTTGTTTAAAAACAAAACGCCAAAAAGTGCCTCAACAATTTATGTGTTAATTTAAACATTTTTATTAATTTAATATTTAAAAAATATATATGTATTTCATAATAAATACATACATTTTTATTCACTAAAGTTTCTAAGCGAGAACAAAAAGAAGAAGAAGAAGATGATGATGAAAAAACAAATCAAACAATTTTTTTTTCTTTTTAAAGCTATGTTTTCAATTTTATTCTGAGTTATTGTTAAGTGTTGTTAATATAGTTAATCATACATAGTGCAAAAGTATAATTTAACCAACTAAAACACAATTTTATTAATAATAACAAATAAAAGAATGAATATTATAATTAATAAATTTTTATTAAAAATAAAAAATAATTTAAATTTTTTATAGGACTTGAATCAAAAAACCAAATCATGGTGCCGTTAATAGGCCCGCCATATTATCCTTACGTAGGGGCCATGCTGATCTTCCAGGTCGCGATACACTTTTCCGGCGCAATCAATATAAATAACAAGCCCGACAACTCTCTTCGTTTAGAACGAATGTATATAACATTTTATTTAATCATGACACAGTAGGATATTCACTGCTTGCAAATTTGTAGAAAATTTTGAATCAAAATTGCGAGAATCTCAGCGAATTTTTTTAGAGTGTTTTCAGAAGTACTTGACTTTGTCGCTTCATAAGGGCTATACGGGAATGTTAACTTTCGCTCGATTGTATCAATTGAACGAACTTCTCGAAAACCCAAAGAAACGTATTTTGAGGTTTTGAACTTTGTCGAATACGAAAAGATTCGCCAACACTGAACATATATTTTCTTCGGCTTGTGCGAGTAAAGAACAATTTAAGCAATTTAACTAAACTAAATATGATTTTACTATACAAACAAATATTTTGTTATATGTACCAACCTGGGATGGCAGTATACTCAGTGTGTCATAACGTTTGCAACATTCAAAAACGAAGCCTCAGAGCCCCTATAAAGTATGTATATTCTTGATCAACGGGAAATTCTCAACCGATTAACGCACATATGCGGTGTGTGGTGTGTGTTGTTGACATCTTCCAGACACAGAAGTTTCCGTGCGCAGGTTAGTATTGAAAAAAGTATTGAGTCAAATTGGTCAAAGCACAAGCTTGCAGTAAAACATAAACTCAACGCAAATTTGTTTTTTTAAAGAAATTCTAAATTTGTGGGACTTTACAGAAAACTCTACTATTTATGTGCAAAAATGCCACAAAAAAAGTCGACCATGCCCACACAAAGATATAAGTAATTAAATTTTTTTTTTTAACTCTTTTAAAGTTATTAATGTAAAAAAGGCATTGTACATTCCTCCAACCAAGATATATTATCTGCTAACAAATGCGTTCATTCTAAAAATAAATATGATGAACATCGCGACGTGGTTGGTTAATTTTTTCTTAACAAGAGGAAGACAACTTTTATTCCATTCACTTTTCAATGACCATAAACGTAAAAAATTTTAATTTTAATGATGATGGGTATGCGAGATTCGTCCCCAGCTGAATATAACTTTTTTATTTTTTTTACACATAATGAACAACAACATAAACCACAATAAATAAACAGATATAATAATTTAATAAAGATAATATTAAGATTTTACGCCTGCCTGACATGATGCGAGTGTTGAAGTATATATAAGATGGCAATCAGTCGTCGCTAGTAAGCTATTAAATCATCAATTCTTACGGAGAAAATTCCCTACCGGATACGTTCCAATGAGTGGTGTAATTAAAGCAGAATCCTTACTGCTGGAGGATAGACAGAGCGTTAAGAAAATTAATAACGGAAAAGAACAATGGGGTAATGGCTTGGAATTTCTTTTTTCATGCATCTCGCTGTCGGTAGGTTTGGGCAACATTTGGCGTTTCCCGTATATTGCATTTCAGAATGGTGGCGGTACTTTTGTAATTCCGTATCTGATAGTTTTATTGATTATTGGGCGACCGATTTACTACATGGAAATATTAGTGGGACAATTTTCAGGTAAAGGTTGCTTACAAGCCTTTAATATGGCTCCAATACTCAAAGGTAAAGGAAGATAAAATAATATATTTTTCTTTAGTTATTTAAATGAAATTTTATTGCAGGAGTGGCCGCTGGACAAGTTCTAGCTACCATCGCTTCTATCACCTATTATTCAAGTGTTATGGCTTTGACCTTGAGATTTTTATTCGTTGCATTTTTTCCCGTTTTACCATGGAGTTATTGTCGTCCTAACTGGGGTTCCGAATGCTTAGATGCGAATAGTATAGAGAACAAAACCAATAAAATTTCCCCGGCTGAATTGTATTTTCAGTAAGTTTATCGAGATAGGCTCGAGTTTGATAGAAATCAAAATAATTGCATTATTGTTTCAGCAAAATCGTTTTACGGGAATATGATAACATTGATGAAGGCATTGGTTTACCCAATTGGGACTTAGTTATATGTTTAGCTATATCTTGGTTTATCATAGGTGCCGTACTTATAAAAGGTATCGTTTATCAGAAAATGAGATATTGAGATATTGTCGTGAGAAGTATTCACTTTAGATATTGCTCGTGTGTTTAGGTATTAAAAGCTCTGGTAAAGTGGCCTATTTTTTAGGCACCTTTCCTTATATTATTCTCGTGGTGTTATTGATTAGAGCGGTAACTTTGCCCGGTGCTATGCAAGGAATCAAATTTTTCTTTACACCAGTATGGAAGAACTTGATAAACCCTATGGTAAGCGAAATTTTTCCGGACAGTTTCGTTATATTTAAGTTCTTTGTCAATTTCCAGGTTTGGTACGCTGCCGTAACTCAAGTGTTCTTCAGCTTAGCAATTTGTTTTGGCACTTTAATAACCTACGCTTCCTATAACAACTTTTCTCGTAATGTGTACAAGTAAGTTCTATGTTGTTGCTTTAAAAAATCAATCTTTCTACAATTCTTTTGTACCCCACCACCGAAAGTGGTGTTACCTTCGCCATCCTGATTGCAAAAGTCAAAGATCACATGAAACCTATATGTATTCTAATATGTATTCCTTGCCATCGTAAAATATAACTAACCCCTTATGTTGATGCTTCCATCTATTGTTGACGATTGCAATACTTTACGCTATAAAACTGAATACCGAACATATATTTTATAATCAAGCAAAACAGACATTACGTAACCTATACCTGGATACAATTGTTCGTCTATCACAATCCCAACAATTATATCTTGTTTCTATCTGAAAGCGTACTTTTTATGAGGCACTTATGTGGAAAAGTGTCCAAAAAAGCTTATGGTGGGGTATGCAGAATTGCCCATCGCCATCCGAACATAGTCCACGTAACTTTCAAGTGCAATTACTATTATGGACTAATTTTCATCAAAATATATTTAAAATATATATAAAAAGGGACTTTTTTTGTCACATGAACCATTGTACGGGATGATCTGCCTTCATTTCTATGTCAAGCTACTATCACGGGCCAATACCCCATCAGAAGCATTAAAAATGATATAATTATCTCAATTTTTTTTTTTTTTTATATGACGACTTTTTTCATATGGGACATTACGTGGGGAATTGCCGTAAAAATGGTACGATGCAATCAATCCCTTTCATCGAAATATCTCAAATATTGCGACGTGCACGTTGAACAAGAATATAAATACATAGGCAAAAATGCATATATCAAAGTATTTGTGAAACGATCGGTACAATAAAAGGCGGGCGGGCCTATTTTAAACCCTTCCGGGTAATAGATACGTCTGCACAAATTTAATGTATCGTATACTGGCGCAGGGGTAAAAATAGCGTCAGCAATTGCACTGCGATAGGCAAAAAGAAAATGTTTTTCAACTAACGACTTATTGACGCATTGTGAAGCAAACGTTCGTCTCAGCCATCTAAAAACTCATTGCAAAAAAATTCTAAGCTCTTCGATTATAAAATTGGTGGCTATAACAACACGACGCAAAGCGATTAAATCTCTCTTACTTGTTTCTTAGTGACATTGTCATTATTACCACTATGGACACGTGCTCGTCTATAATCGCTGGCAGCATTACCTTCGGAATAGTCGGACATTTATCTTATGAAACCAAAAGTAGTATAGCCGATGCAGTTAAAGGGGGCGCTGGGCTTGCCTTTATAACTTATCCAGATGCTATAGCTAAATTTAAGATTCTGCCGCAGGTAAGTTGACACTTCACTACTACACTATCGCATATCTTTTTATAAAGGGCAAGCAATCAAAACTACCTAAAAGGCGTTTGCCATTCTTTTCTTTTCCATGCTGTTTATTTTAGGCGTAGGCAGTACCGTTGGCATGGGTTCTTGTATAATCCGTGTAGTAAAAGATCGATTCCCCCTCATATCAAATTGGTCATTGTCTGTGTCTTTATCAGTGATTGGTTTCATGTGTAGTTTAGTGTACATGACTCCTGGCGGGCAATTTATACTGAACTTGGTAGATTTTTACGGTGTTTCATTTACTGCTTTAATATTGGCCATAGGTGAACTTGTAGCGGTTGGTTGGATATACGGTAAAATTTAGATAATTAAGAAAAAGAAGAATATAAATTTTAATTATAATTTTTAGGCGTAAAAAGATTCTGTGAAGATATCAAATTCATGCTGGGCATGAATACAAGCATTTATTGGCGTTTATGCTGGTCTTTAATATCACCAGCTTTATTGCTATCAGTACTGATCTATACTCTTTTGGATTTAAGGCCATTAACCTATAAAAATCGAGAGTACCCTCGTGCGGCTCACAGTAAGTTGCAATTTTTTTTTTGCTTTTTACAAAGTTATTAACAAAGTTGTTTTTTTTTTGCAGTCATTGGTTGGTGTTTAACAACATTAGGACTTTTACAAATTCCTTTGTGGGCTGCCTACGAATTTTATCGCCAAGATAACACAAGAGATGTGAAAAAGGTTCGTAGATCAAACTGAATAAATATAAATAGCTTTCAGGTCTACATTTATTTTCTTCCCAAATTTTAGAAATTTTTAAATATTTTAAAACCTTCTCCGTCTTGGGGCCCTTTAAATTCTCACTTGCACGAAGAGTATAGTAATCAACGTCTCGAACTGCAGATCAACCAAGAAAAGAGCAAAAATATTTTTAATAAAATTTATGAAAACATATTCGGATGATTGTAAAAAAATTTTTTTTAATCGGTGAATTTATCTATATTTATAGCACATTCCGTTTGATAAATACGTTTTGTAATTAAGTAGTCACGCATAAGTTTAAAAAAGGTAAACTGATTGGTTAATGTTATAAAGCTTAGAGATAATATAAAATTCCATTCAATCGCGTAGCATAATAAAGAGATACCCGCTATTATTATGCAAGCCTGCGCCACAGTTAAAATTGCATAAATGCTGGCCGGGTTATGGAAGAGTTTCTAGAAAGTGGATTTTCGTTTTAATTTGTGTCAAAAAAAAAAAATAAAAATTGCAAAAGAAAAACGTACGTAAAATCTTAAGTGACCCGAGTTGCTAGGGAATGCGACTGTCACTGGTCCTTGACAGCGATATAATTCTCCAGCGCATTTAGTGACTGTATTATGAGGCCACAAAGTTGACTTATTCCAATTTGCTGCGGCTGCACTTACCACACAATCCGCTCCCGGCCTTAATTCCAATTTTGACCAACAACCCAAATGCAGTGCTGCCCGATGCAAAATGTCACTGTATTTACTAGGGAAAGCAAACACAATGGACATTGTGAGCACGCTAAGCCATACGAATATTATATGTTGCATACACCACCATACATTGTAATGAATGGCCGTGGCAAAGAAACAAGGCAAAAATCCTGCATAATAAGCATTGAATACTGAAGTGAAAATTACTTGTTTCAAGCGATTATTGAAATCATTGCGTAGTAGTTCAATTTCATCACGTATAGCTTGCGGTTGAACAGTGCAGCAATGCAATGGTAACGCATTGAAATAAGCTCCTCTTATCTCACAAATGAAACGCAAAAATGGTTCAATTTTTAAACCAAAAATTAAATAATACACAACAAATCTGAAAGTATGAGAAAAAAAGAAAATTAAAACAAATTTGTCCTTACTTACTGCTTTGATCTATAACTTACAGATATATTAGCAAAAAAATGGATAAATTATTCTGATTGTTGTACATCATCACAATACAGAAGACCAGCATGGCTAATATAATATCTTCGATCAGGAATTTACATATACGCCACAGCCGGTGGTAATTAGTCGGTAATAGCAAATCCAAAGCTCGCATGCTTAAACAATAGATTAGACGTCGTGAGTTCATAGCCACAATTAAAATTATTAGAAAAGGTTCTATATAATAAAAATTCTGTAAAGGAACAAGTAAAAAATATTGTACTTCGTTAGGCCATACCACTGAGCTTATCTCCAAAGTCATCAAATATATGCAAATGAATAGAGGCTAACTGAGTGGAGCGAATCTTTGATATTCTCGAGATCATAATCAATTGTAGTGTTTTTTAATTGGAAGCCTTACGAAGTTTATTGGTTAATTCTATTGTATCATTTTATTTTTATTTATTGTATATTCATTTGCACCTTTACTTTATCATTTTATTTTTGCCTTATCTACGAGAGGGTTTATCCACAAAAGAGTTTCAATCGATAGGGGCAAACTTGAAAGAAACAACTTTTAAAAAATGCTTCGCCAAATGTGTATTAATTCAAATAAAGAAAGAGATACAACGGGCTTAACAAAAAATGTCTTTTACGCTTTGTAATTCCCAAAATTTTTTTCGTTCGAAGAGCGTTGTTTCCAAATGGTGTGCAGTATTCCAAAAAACCTGCGAATATTTCACTTGTACTCGGACACGAATACATAACACATATTGAAAAGTATCCTTGAAGAGGAGTGAAAATAAATTTGAGCAGGTAAAGGATTTCTTCTAAAAAACAGTAAACTTATCACAATCTGAACAATACTTTTCTTCCACTGATTGAGAAAAGAAAGTTTATGAAATAAAACTTAAATTGTTTACCCGGCTTTTCGAAATTCAAATTAGATAAGCCCTTTAAAACTTCCCTCCACTGAGCATTCATCGATAAATTTGCGGGAGAGTAAGCAGCAAGCATTGAATGGATAAGTTCGTTATACTATTATATTTCATGAAAAACTTACCAGGGTATTGTTTATGTTTGATTGTGGAAGCCACCAATTTGTTCGATAAATATTAATAAATTGCATAGCCGCAGCGCAAGTCGTGAAAAGGAACATCATTGATTCATTCAATAATTCAGAACTATTCGCGAACTCCGGGAAAGATATATGCTTCGGCATAGCCATGATGCTATGTGTAGAGCTATATTCTTCCTCTTTAGAATTGTCACGCATAACGTCACTAATACTTCACTTCAGACTTTAATCCAAAGACACTCAGATGCAAGCAAAGGCTTCTATTATTTTACGAAAAAAACTTCCAGGTAAAGTAAAAATAGTAAACAAAATATGTGTACATTTGGTTGCTAAATGCAAACACCTTAGCAAAAAATTAAATGGCAATGCTACACAAAAAAAAAAAAAACAGCTGACTAAATATGAATGCATAGACTACTTAAGCTCCAAAAGTGGATCTCAATATTTGCATTGTTGCCTTTTTGACACTAAAGTGCGATTTTTTACGCGTAAAATTTTTCTTCATGCATTTTAGTTTTATTTAAAACCGCGAATGTATGAAGAGAATCTAAAAATTAATTCAAATTTGGCGGAATATAAAAAATAGCAATGTGTAATAATTTCGCAATAGCCTACTTTGTTGATATCTTCTCTGCAATAAAATTTCGGTCATAATTGTTCTTCCATAACAAAATTTGTCATGTTAAAACCTCAAATTATTTCTGCAAACAATCTTTTCAATCGGAATAATAACTGTGGCTTATGTTCCTTCCAATGAAAAGTCTTTGCAGCGACGTTGTCGATGCCGACTACTACCATATTCCCTTCAAGAAAGAAAACAGTTCTTGATCTTTTTATACCCCCGTTATCTTTACAAATAATCTACGCAAATTTTGCAATTTTGAAAAATTCAAGATAACACAAAATTGATGTGAAAAATTCGGATGGGAAAGAAGACCACTTTGCATTTATTCCCATGGTTACACGACCACTGCAATCTTTCCTTATACCTTTCTCCATTTTTTTCTGACCACGATTCTGTTGCACGTATAGAAGAAAATCTCTAAACGACTGGTGAGATAAAAAAAAAAAAAAAATATCTATATATATAACCGTTCCTATAAAAAAACATAAACATTTAATATTTAAAAATTTATCACGAAATTTCGACCGCAATAATAATTTGTCATAATAGTTGACTGCACTTGGATTTCTGACTTCATCCATACAAGAATTGTGAGGAAAAATAAGTCCTCATATAGCAGCATGTGATTTTTAATTTCCTAGATCGTAGAGAAATAATAATGTTTACCAAAAAAAAACTTTTTCCTAAACTGAAACCACTTCACGTAACGTTCCATGAAAATTTTGCTTTCACATAGAAAAAGATATAAATTTTAAGAATTTTATCGGAAAATGAAATAACGAAATGATGTAGGGTATTCAATTACAGCACCCTATCTACAGTGCGTCATTTTGTTATTGTATACTTTTCCATCAAAGTAAGATACAAAACGGCGTGTAAAAAGAGGGACCCGTGTAATTTGCAAAAGAAAATTTGTATAGATGTGCTAATTACCGACATTCAATGTTATTTAAATTCAAACATTTCTCCATTCTAAACAAACAGAGTTGTTGTTTATTAATACTTCTCAAGTGACCGAAGATAGCGTTTTTCAGCTTATATAGAATTATTGGACCAAAGTTGATTTAACAGCTGGTGTTTTTAACAGAAAAGCAAAAATGTTGTTAGTGTGTATGCGAAGATTGAAAACATCTGGTTGCGCCTGGAATATGAGTGAACTTACTGCAAAATTGCGCTCTATTTTACAATTTTATTTCGACCAAGGCACGAATCCTGCTCAAGCTCGTGAGGAAATTTGTGCTGTCTATGGACAAGATACACTATCAAAGGCAACAGTTAAAAATTGGTTCAGTCGGTTCCTTTCTGGAAATTTCGATGTTCAAGATGCTCCCCGCAGTGGCCGACCAAGCACAGAAAAAGCAGACGATATTCTGGCAAAAATCGAACAAGATCGACATATAAGCAGCAATGAAATTGCTGCTGACCTAAACATTTCACATCAAACAGTGTTAAACCATTTAGAGAAGGCGGGCTACAAAAAAAAGCTTGACGTGTGGGTGGTTCGGGATTTAACTAGAAAAAATTTACTTGATCGAATATCCATCTGTGAATCTTTACTGAAGCGTAATGAATTAGACCCATTTCTTAAACGCTTAGTAACGAGCGGCGAAAAATGGATAACATTTGACAACAATCCACGAAAAAGGTCTCTGTCGAAGCGAGGAAGTCAACATTCTGAGGAAAAACCCGCTCTAGTGCTAAGGAAGATATTGCTGTGCGTTTGGTGGGATTGGCAGGGAATTCTGCATCACGAAATGCTCCCACCCGGTAGCACAATTGATCCTGATCTGTACTGCCAACAATTAGAACGGCTGTATCTAGCAATTCAGAAGAAACGTCCAGAACTTGCAAGCAGCAAGGTAATCGCATACCAAGCTGACAACAACAGACCTCCGCATACATCCTTAACAACTCGCCAGAAATTACGAGAATTCGGTTGGGAAGTTCTAATGCATCCTTCGTATAGTCCAGACTTGGCACCGTCAGATTATCATTTATTTTGGTCCCTACAGAACTCTCTGATTGATGCCAAGTTAGTTTCAAAGGAGGCCTGCGAAAACCATGTGTTACAGTTTTTTAATCAAAGACCGCAAAAGTTTTATAGCGATGGGATCATGTCGTTGCCGGAAAAGTGGCAAAAGGTCATCGAATTGAATGGTGCATATGTAGATTCATAATATCATCTGTCAATATCAATAAACATATTCATAAATTTGATCCCAGGCACACTTTAATACTTTTAGTTCTATGCAAAATTTTAATAATAATTTAAAAACGTCAAATGCAATATATTAGCATCGAATCATCAAAAGCCATTATTAATACAATCAAATATTATAAAACGCAATAAATTATTACTATTAATAATAATTCGTCAAAAATATTCGTAATTTTTTTAATTCGAGACAAAAATTGTCATTTCATTATTTTTCTTGTTCAATTGTTCTCTTAGTGAAACTCCAGGAACTGCCTTTGCTATGATCGCGTATATCTATACCATTTTGAAGTAAGCATTTACGCAAATCGTCGCATATTTTGAATAAATGATCATTTTTATCAGCTACGGCTTTTTCACGTATTGATTTACGAGTATTCAGAATATCTTCGAGTAAAGCATTCAAGTCGAATTGTTCGGTGGTATTATTTACTTCGTGCTCTTTTGCGGTGACAAAAGCAAAACCGAAAGATTGCAATATGAATGACACATAATTGCTAACAGCCGCTACAGCATCCAAACTCGAAGCAGTTTGTACTTCTGATCCGGGTTGTGCGTTGATGCATCTACTAATACTGGATATTTGATCCATAAGTGTTGTTATGGAACGGGCCGTATTGAAATCATCCCTAATGGAGCTATCAATGTGCGATTGGGCAAACTTGAGATTCTCGAAAATGGCTGAATCATCCAGCCCTACGGCGGTCTTTTTTCCTGATAAATAGGCCAAACAATCCGTTCTAAATCCTTTGAATTTATTTAAATTACTTTTAGCCATAACCATTAATTCGTCACTGTACTCCATAGCGCTTCGGTAATTCGAAAGCGCACAAGCCATACGGAAATCATCACCAGTGTACTTTTCTAACATGTCTTTCACGGTAATGGTGTTTTTCAATGAATTGGACATTTTTTGCGATTCCCCTTTCATACTTAGGTGACCAGTATGCAACCAATAATTAACCCATTGTTTATTGTCGTGATATACACAACTTTGACATTCTTCGTTCTCGTGATGCGGAAACCTTAAATCAATACCTCCAGCGTGTATGTGGACATTATCGCCAAAGATCATATCAGCTAAAGTGCTGCACTCGATATGCCAGGCAGGTCGACCGTTACCCCAAGGAGAAGGAAAAGTTGGTCCCGTTTTGCGTGACTTCCATAAAGCAAAATCCATAGGTGATTTTTTAAATCCTTTTTCTAATTGCTCTCCCGCATCTTGGTCATCTAAACTGATATTTTGCAGTTTTCCATAATTCTTTACGCTTTTTACATCCATATACACCGAATTATCATCACCTATGTAAGCCAATCTTTTTTTTAAAATACGTTCAATATAGTTTATTATCTTTGGTATATGGTCGGTTACACGAGCCTTGACATTCGGCTCCAAAACATTTAATTTTTTTAAATCTCCCCAAAATTCCGCCTCATAAAAGCGCGCTACTTCACGCCAGTCTTTACCTAGGTTCTCACTCTTTGCTATGATTTTATCATCAATATCAGTGATATTCATAGCACTCACAATATTCAGATTGAAATGATGTCTTAGAATACGCTGTAAAATGTCCAACTTCACATAACAACTGGCATGTCCCAAATGACAGGAGTCATACACAGTCGGCCCGCAAGTATACCAAGTTACAAAGTATTGATTGTTCAAGATAAAAGGCACATTACGTTTCGCAACGCAATTGTAAATGCGTAAATCAGTCTCAATGCCATTTGGTTTCAGCCAATTTCGTTTAGTGGATGTTTGACGTATTAATTGAAAAAATTTTTCAGGTCTACGTAATTGTTGTCTGCTATTTTTATAGGAAACGAAAGAAACATTTGCATATTATGTAATCATGATGTGGAAAATCTGCTGGAATAATTAAATAAATAATATGTAGTAAATAGTAGACTCACCCCACTTGTAACATTTTTATGTTTCTTGGTTAATGTAAACAAAAGGAGTGCACGGAATGCAGTTTCTATTTCACTATAAATGCACTAACACACTAAAAATAAAAGCAATTAACCGGCCAGCTGTTTTTCTTCCGATTTTATAAGATAAAATAAACAAAAAAAAAAAAAAAAAGAAAAGCAGAGATGCCCATTAACGATTTTTTTTTGACAATTTTTGTGTTGTTATTGTAAAAGTAGTACGTTGTGTATTTTATTGCCGAAAAAGTAGAACGTGAGTGGTTGCTGTCGTAAAAGTGGTACTGTGTTGCCATAAAAGGTCTACCGTGAGTGATTGTTGTCGCAATTTCTAATTTTTGTTTACATTTCCCATGCACCTGCTATTATTATTACATATACTAAAAACTTTTCAAAACGTGGGATAGTAAAATAGTTCACAAGCTCATTAGCAATCATACATATGAAAACTTCTATTTAAAAATGATAAAGGCTGTTCCCTGTGATATGTGTGAGGAATGCAGCACTGCAGGGTCAGCTATTCAATTTTGAATGCAAAACGGCCAACATCCTTAGACAATCTTCCGCTTTTACCAATAACTTATATGCAATTTTTCGTCGTAGTAATTATGCACACCTCAAACAACTGACTGCCTTTATCAAAGCTGCTATCTTTTCTTTGTAATCTCTTTTTCTCCCACTACCTTAATTAACAGTATACAGCCTAAACTTATAATTCTTTTTCAATTGAACAATTCATTAGGAAGATGCTTTGATCTCATTTTGCTGGTGTACAAGCCTCAGAATCCACAGCCTTTATCCATTTCTCTGGTACAACCAAAAAAAAAAAAAAATATTTTGAGAGCAGCTGTTTTTAAGCGGGAAAATTTAGATTTGGCGGAAATGGAGGAAACGAAGGAAACGTAAGTCGGATTAATTTGTAATATTAGAATATTTATGAAATAAAATGTGAAATTGTAGATATGTACGCTCTTTGGAGGATGTGAAGAATATAATTAAATACGCTAAATTGGATGAACGGAATTTAACTCAAGTTACCCAGGTTGTAATTAATGTTACTATATAATATTCTAAATATTCGAAATTTTCCGATAATCTTAAAAAAATAGGCTCTTTATTACCCTTCGGAAAGTGTGGTCAGCGATAACTTGAAATTACTCGAACTTGATGAGCATATGTTGCAGCAAATCCGTTCAGGACAAAAATTATATTTTAAAGGAGGGCTTACTGAGAAAGTGGTTTTATGCACTGATGAGAAAACTTACGATGTTAAGGGTGCAGAGATTTCCAATAGCCTGTTACTAGTGCCAGAATTAAAATTTGGTGCCGGTACAAGTACGTCTCCCTTAAAAAGTCCTCGTAATGCAGCCAACAATTCATTAGAAAGAAGTCTCAATGATAGCACGGAAGACGATTTGGCTTTAGATCGTTCTTTGGAGCAAAAACAAATTTTAAACACTTTTCATGAGTATTTGGAGTGCCGGGAAATACGACCACGTTTTCGTAAATTAGGGGATCTACTGCTGTTGACCCGCTACTCCGGGCCGGAAAATGAAGAATTTATTGATCGTAAATTCCTGTTTAGTTTCCAACAATTACAGGATACCATACAATGCAGTCGTAAGCAGTTCATGGAGGGTTTGCAAAAATACAGGGCCATTGAATTACAAGGCCATATGCGAATACTAGAGTCTGAATATGAATATAGAATAATTAATTTAATGGTCGGTTTAATAAATGAAAACTCTTGGATTATTGACGAGGTGGAGAAAGAAGAAACGATGAATGCTCTAATGGGAATTGCTCCGCAAGAAATTGTAGAGGGCTTGTTCGAAATTTACGCAATCCCAACAAGGGGCAAAGAAGAACGTTACACCTACAAGGAAGATTTGGTAGCACGTATAGTGGCGCAATTTATTTTACAACCAGGGCTCAAGTTTAGAGTGGATGAATTTTTAAGCTCTTGGCAAGAGGCTTTGCCTGACGGCATGAAATGTGAAGTAATTTGGCAAAAACCCTTTTATAATTCAAATATTTAGTTAATTATTTTTAGGAAAAATATTTACGCGGTTTGGGCATATTTGATAAAGAAGGTTCGATTGCCTTCATACGTTCGTTGAACGAAGAAAATTTACCATTAAATATACATGAACGAATGAGATTACTCTTTAAAACTAAATCAAAATGGACTTTGGAGGAAATAGAGCCTTATATAGAGTAATAATATTGTGTAATAACTTTTATAAAAAAATTTTACGCATCTTATGTCTACAGATATTTCACTACCGGAGTCTTAAGTGCTTCCACTTTAATGGCCAAATATGCCAGATCTCTAACGGAAGATGGTATACGATACTACGTAGCCAAGCATTAGCAACGTTATTTTTACATCTTTGTTCTCCTAATATGCATCATTTTGGCTCTCTTTATATCTTCTATAGCATTTTGCATGAGTTTTATCGCACTGTGTTCTGGATTTTCTTCAGAATTCAAAGTCAGTCAACTAATTTCAGTCACTTGTAACTGGCCAGAAGCTGTAGGATATCTAGTTAAAAAATTGCAATTTTTTTTAAATAAAAATTTCGCGTTTGCCTTAAACATTTTACTTACCTTTTTTTGGTTTAGTTAGTAGAATAGTTTAAGCCTGTTAGCAATAAAACTATTCAATGGTGTGATAAGTTTCTATATGTTAACCCTCTATGATAGCCACAGTATATAATAATGTATTCGTATATGAACGATGAAGAATTGGTCAGAAGCTTTAGTGAACTAGGAGTATTAATTAGACATTTGAAGTAAAAAAGGAATTTTTTTCCTTTTTTTTTGTTTCGGTATATAGGTGGTAAATGGACCTGGATGGAGCCCTGTAAATGAAAGGCCTACATGTTCAATGACGTTATAAGTTTCCATCATCCAATCTTTTTAAGACGTCAGGACGCCTTGGTATTATTATTATTATGCGACTTCTGTATATTGAAAATTGGACATCTTTGCACACAAAGGCTTCATTTCCGTAAGAAGGATTATGTTTAAGAGGTTCAACGCTCAACGCAGCTAATTTTTATATTAAACTATTATCATTTTCATCGTTTAGCAGTGTGCCATACAATTAAAAGTACGTTTGTACTAAAAGAGATTTCGATCAAATAATTCACTGGAAAACATATTAGTTCTCGCAGAGGTTGAAGCGGAGACTAAAACCCGTCTTATTAATGGAACCCCAAGTGACTTGCGACAAATTGAAGTTCCCCCCTGCTATGATCACATCGGCAGGTCTGGACGAAAACAGGAACAAGGAAATTCAAATTAGTTGGAAGGAAACGCAGCAGATATAAAACACCACCACCATTGCGTTCTAATTGAACTTCTCTGAAAACCTGGAAAGAATCGTGGAAAGATTTCGACGAATGCAGACCAGACTTCAACCAATGTTCAGTAAAAGTCAAACAGAAACACTGCACGCCTCCATCCAGTTATATGCTCAGTTTTTCAAAACATATGATTTTGCCGCGATAATAAAATGCCGTACAATGCTGTGTTCAATCTGTTCAGTATATTGCAATAAGAAAGCAACGCACGATGCAAAGTCATTGTTGTCAGCGCATTAAGCGCAAAACAAGTGAAAACATTATAGTCGCAATAGGCGGAAAGCTGGAAAAGACCGTTGAATAGATATAAGGCCAAGATCAATTCGAAAGACGTCTGGGCTTTTGCAAAGAAATTCGAAGTGCGCCATGAAGACTTTGATGTTAATCACGATTTGGGCTACAGAACGGTAAATTTTATCGCAGGACCAAGAATATTTGATCATGAGCGGTTAGCTTAGTCCTGGGATATCAGAATAATTGTAAAAATTAATAAGCAATCTATTGTGAAAAAAAAGGAAAAAAACAACATTTTAAAAACCCCTCTTTAACATTATAAATTTCATTCGTATTTTCAATATTATCTTCCAAATAACACTATAGAAGGAAGTACATAGAGGATTTTTATTCAATTACTCGGCAATCGCAAAAACCATCATATTTTTTGAGTCCCTTACGTACTTCTCCAGCTATCTGTCTGTAGATCAAATAACTTATTTATCTTTTTTTTTAAACTTACATCAAAATCCCTTTGTGCATTCAATGTGTGATATTATTTAAAAAAAAATTTTTTGAGAACTTAAAAGTAAGGTTAGTAAAGTGCTTCAATACTACTTTTTTTGCCCCCCTTAAAAATATTGTGAAAAAGCGCTCCTTTTTAGGCAGTCCCGCTTTAAGAACTAAAAATTTGAACTATGTAAATAAGGCGTTTCTGGAGTAAATGGAAAATTTTATTGCTTTCGTAATTCTTACTGCTTGCAGAGTTTCGAGGAAAAATTCATTCGTTGGCAAAAAGATAAGACACAAATTAGCGGTGTTTAGTATATAATACCGTCTGGAGAGTTCTCAAAAATTCCTTTAACTTTCTAATTTTTGATTGAGTTCTATGACCCATTTGGCAACTTCCCCTTTTCTCAAGTCGACATAATCGAACAAAATAACATTGATCGTTGGACGGCTATTTTCATTAAATATCCCTGGCGTTTGAGCTTCAATCCACGGACGTAATTTTTTTTTTACTTTCTTTGCAGTTGAACGCAGCGATGAAAAGAACCTATATAAACAAAAAAAAATTGGATAATATAGACGAAATCTAGATGATCATTCTTACAATATAATAGAAAATAATTAGCATAACGTTGGAGAGTGATGCGGTAATATAAACTACGTATGCACATATATTGAAGACTAATATCTTAATCTTTTCGTAAGAACACGTAAATATGCTCGAGACACGAGCAGTAAATCTATATTAATATTAGATGAATATCCTGATTTAAAGAGTATTGAGTCGAATAATGCAAAGACTCAAATAGACTTCTAGTGTAATATATGTAAAAATTTTTAAAATATTTGTGAAAATTTCTTTACCCTTAAACATGTTAAACATTCACAATGAATAGTACAAAAAGTTTTACAGGGGCCGATCCCTGTATGTAGCTTTAAAAGTGAGTTCTCTTTGAAATTTTCGAGATGCCCGTATTTGTAGCATTTTCAATTATCAAACGATTGACATAAAGTGCACAAACTGTAAGTATATAGTAAAATTTTCCAATAAAGCGTAGAGAATTTTTAATTTGCTAACTTTATCCGATTTATAGAAATTTTTCGAAAAAGAATTTGTTAACTAAAGTAGCCTTAATTTTTATATCCGGCACCGTTTGTGATTCTAGGGTATATTAAGTTTGTACAGATGTATGTTATACCCAGAAGCGACTTAGGCACACCTTTTAATATACCGATCAGAATCACCTTTGCAGTCGACCATTTTTGATGAATCTTCGTACACTGCCATGTTTTTGGCTCAAGGAGGAACGCTATTGGAAATGTACATCGGAGCACTTCCATTATAACTGCTGATTTTGAAAAGTCGCTACATGAATATCTATAGGATCATATCAGGTATTTAATGATGGGCCACGCCCTACCATAGTGCTTTTAGTGGTTTTAAAATCAATATTTTCTAAAGATGCTATATATTTTAAGAATTTTTTGAATTCTTTCAGATGTGGGTAAAATGACTTTTGGGTGGGGATAAAATGATTTTTTTTACATGAGACGTTTTGTCTTTCAAAAATTATATCAAAAAATTTTTAAGCATCTGATTTCACGAATTAATGATCTTTAATTTTATGCTCGAACCTTAGGCGTACGCAATCGGCGAATTACTATCTCAAGACTTAAATTAATAATTGTTGATTCGTCCAATTATTTACTCTTCAGACATTTTCTCGCACCTAATAGAATTTACTCGTTCTCTTGGCCGAAGAAATCGTCTAAACCTTTGCTGCGGATAACAGATAAATTTACAATTTTTTCATTTTTTAAGATTTCAACCCTAATTAGAAACGAAAACAAAAAGCTGAGAACAATAATGGTTGGGTTTTACGCTAAATGGTTGGATTGATAGGAAAAAAGGAATTAGGTACAGGATGAAGCATGAAGCATAAGCATAAGTGAGGAAAACATTATCACCGCCACTTTTTTCTTTTGGGTTGATCAATGAAAGGCCAAAAGTTCTTCCTGTTTTTTTTTTTAGGAATGGTTCAGAATGGTTTTTTTTATATGATTATTTTTAAATTCGAAACGGTTTACCTAAATGCAATGTATCGTCCTGAAGGCGTAATTATGCATTGTGAAACGAAGCCTTGTCCAGATCTTCGCGAGTACAAATTAAATTCCAAATATTTTTCAAGTTTTTTTGTCGAGGTGACATCTGGCCAGGGCGTTGCCCAACTATTTTCTGACCAAAACGAATTGGAAATCTCTTTTGGACACTTTCTATATATTAAAATTATTTGCTTGTTCATTTCCTTAGACCTCTCAAGCGTAAACGCATGTAATGGGCCATCTTTGGGCATATAGAGTCGTTCTCCAAATAAGTCGATGAGATTGCTTTGAAACTCTTTATGCTGTGAAACATTTAAATCGTAAAAATGTTGAAAATCTAAAATAACAACTTCAAGGGGATGACATTCCAAATATTTTATTAATTCGTCCAGTGGGTTTTTCCATTCCATCGCTAATAATCCATGTGTGTAATAATATTTATTATTATAAAAGGCAATCCTTAAGTCAAAATAACGAATGCCCATCTTTAATTGCGCAGTAATATCTGTCTTTTGCGTACGTGCCCAATAAGCAATGAAGAAGCGAATTCTTTTACCGAAACGAATAATTAATTTCTCTGCGTCCGGTCCAATGTCAGAATGACTATCAATTTCGTAAGTCATTGTGTTATGTGAGCCTGAAAAAAAAAAAAAAATAAAACCAATTTTAGTGTTCAATCGTGTTTCTTCAAAAACAGGACACCTGAACATTGAAGGAAAGTTCACGGGTATGATACGGTTCGCTTTGTTGCAAAATTTTTAAATAAAATACTTGTGTGAACTTCACATCTTTGCTATAACAAGTTCCAAAATGTAAAATCCATTTAAACGCAGCTTCTAAAAACAAAATTACATGAGCTCTTTGCGAAGCTAATGTTCGGGTTGACGATATACATTGTGCGGCCGTATCTAAAGCTACATCTTGTCCTCTTGAAGCGTATGGACAGCGGAGACCAAAAAAATTACATCATCACGTATATTATTTAACGATAGTATTCCTCTTCAATTCGAAATATAAGCTTTAAAGATCGTTGGTTTTAAGTTCATATTTAGTAAGACTTCAATAAGGAATTTGAATATCCGAACGATGTCCGATTTACTGAGCTAAAAACTTATATGTTTACTTTATTCACTTAGGAAATATACACCCACCTGGTATTGCTAAATTTATTATCGGAATGTCTCGAAGATTACTTTGGAGATTTGTCATCCAATTTTCAGTTTGCATTTTTCAATTAAAAAATTGCTTTACTACGCCGTTTAAGAAAACGCAAAAACATTTATTTCATTGCACAATAACAATTATTGCTCAACTGCAAAGCAATATGCGAATATTGCAGAGAAAATGATCTTTTCTCTTTTTGATACAAATCGAATTTATTGTTTAACAATAATAATGATTTTCTTCTTCTTCTGTTAGTCAGCAAATCAACAAACGAAAATTTGCTGAGATGTGTAAAAAAGGCCCAATGTAAACACAGAGTTCTTTGCGTGAACCTTGGTAAAGTTGACGTTAATATTATTATTAATTAATTTTAGTGTTTATTTGATTAAAGTCACGTTATTTTATTTTAATTTTTACTAAAAAAAAAAAATTACTCGTCCGCCACGTAGAATAGAACAGAACAGCGAGATGTAAATTTCATTCTGTAATAAATAATTCTGTAGTGCATGAATATAAAGTGCCATGTGAAGAAATTGATGAATGTGAGAGTAAAAAAAGTGTAAAAGAGAGTAGGTGGTGATGACATGATTTGAAAAAAAGTAAAAATTGCGAAGTAAGCTGTTAAATTATGCACGCAAAATGTCAACAATGACGTGGTCACGAAGACTACATATACTCAATTTGCGAAGTGTAGAATGAACAGAAGTGGTAACATTCGGATAAACAAATAGGATATGTAATTAAACATAAGCCTGTTAATAAGGCAAATAATGTCACGTCCATAAGATGAATTATTCCATCGCAGACTCAGATTAAAATGAGATGGTGCGGAAGAAGGCTATAAAGTAAAGATCTGATTTCTAATATGTAAGAGTGAGTTTTATCTGTGAGATATGATTGTAAAGTGGATTAGACAGAATCGCTGTCTAACATTATAAGGAATTTCTTTTGAGGCTGAGTACTCATTAAGCGGGTAGCTTTCACAATCGCGAGGTATTCAGCCGAAAATATTGTGTTACACGGGTGATTTAAGGAATAAGCTTTCACCTTAATATCCGGAAACCAAAAGCCGCTGCCTACAACATCGGTCTTAGATTCATCAGTAACGATGAGCGAAAAATGCTTCCATTTGGTATCGACCAAATTCGACTGGTGGTAGTGTACCTCTGCCGGAGTAATTGTGAATTTTATCACCGGTAAGAACTTAGTTATTCGTCGAAAATATTGAGAACCAAAAGAATTTTGAATAAGCTATGTACATCAATCCTTAGACTGTTGAAATTATTAATTTTATCAGCAGAAATTTTAAAAACTAAAACTATTTATACATCCAGAGATTATAAACATCCAGATGAAGAAACTTTGGAGGACGGAGTCCGAGTATGTAATGATGTACTTCGGTTGAGATCAATTCTGCGACCGGAGGCAGCGCTGTCCCTTTTCTTAACTTTTTATCTTATTACAATTTTTTGTTTTTTAAATTTATATTTAACAATATCCAAGAAAAACTGCTATAACAACACAAAGAGGGTCTTAATCAAGACGCTTGATATCTATCATAAAATTATCCACACTGATTTTTTACTAAATTCTAGCAGCAAAGAATCACAAAGTATGGAATCTCCGCGCGGGAAATTCAAAGTGGAGCAGCAATGCAGCAAGGATCAGAATCTTTAATCAGACTGCAAAACAAGCCACGAAACCAATAAAAAAAAATTGTAATTACAATTCTTCTTGAAATTAAATTTTTTAATTTAACTAATTATTTAATTATTTATTTTTTCACAGAGAAGAAATTCTATCATGCGCGTTAACATTTTCAGCTTAGAATTCCTTTATTACTCTTGAAAACTAAATCAAAATGGATTATGGAGAAAATAGAACCTTTTATATAGAGTAATAATATCATTGAATAACTTTTACAAAACCTTTACGCATCTTATGTCTACATGCACTTCACTTAAGCGCGTCTTAAGCGATTCAATGGCCAAATATGCCAGATCTCTAATTGAAGATGGTACACGATGTTATGTATCCAAGCTAATAAATTTATACTAAACAGACTATTAATTAAAAATGTCGAATTTTATATTTCTGTTGTTTGATTTTCTAGCGGAACTCCTTCTCTCAAACATTAGATTCTTATTGCGCATTTCTTCTTATGTTTGAAAGTTCGAGAACTAATTTTTGTTAAATTTGAAACTGAATCGAAATGGAATTCCGTTTCACAACTTTTACAAAACCTCTATCTTTAGCAGCGTTACTTTTTTACGTCTTCTTCCTTTTGTTACGCATCATTTTGGCTCTCTTTATATCTTCTATCGTATCCTGCATGACTTTTATCGCACTATGTTCTGGGTTTTCTTCAGCATCCAAAGTCAGTCGACTAATTTCAGGCACTTGTAATTGACCAGAAGCCGTAGGATATCTGTTAAAACAGGTAAAATTTTTTAAATGCAAATAAAAAATCTTATGTTTTTTGCCTTACTTAAAACTAAAATTCTTGGGAAATATCATCTTAGTTAATAACGTTTTTAATTGCGAACGAGCATTTAATAGATTCATACGATTACGTCTGCGCTCAATTATGAATGCATCTTCATCTTGATCACTGCCGCTAAACAAGAAATCATTTCAACATAAAAGAGTAAGAATTTAGGGAAAACAGAAAACTAACCACTCATCGTTATAACCATCGATGACTATATCCATTTCTTCAGCGTGTTTTTTCATCCAACCCATTTCAGTTTGGACACGTTTTAATTTTAATTCTTCCTTATCAACTTCCCTGGCTAAATCCACACGATCCTTTACAGCCTTAAGGTAATGCTCAGAAATCGGAAATAGTGGTAAGTTTTCAGCTAAAATAATATTGTAATTAAAAGTTTGAGGAAAACGTTTGCATTCCAGTAAAAGAATTTACTTTTCTTCAATGTTTTACATAATTTTGTATAGTTTTTCACTTCTCCTGGTTCCATAATTATAATAGTTATCCCATTCTTATTAGCTCTAGCTGTACGACCTGAACGATGTACATAATTTTCGCTGGTGCGCGGTACCTATTTAATGAAAACGCTTGAATTGATATTTTTTATTTGGATTGGCAATAACTTACTTGGTAATGAATAACATGTTCTACGTTAGGTATATCCAAACCACGGGCGGCTACGTCGGTGGCTATTAGGAGTCCGCAGGGCTGCTTGCAAAATTTTTCCATATTTTTTAAGCGTTGCTTCTGAGCCATGTTAGCATGCAATGGTAAAGGTTGAGTATCCAAAATACCAAACAACGTAGTTAAACGTTTGACACAATCTATGGAATTACAAAACACAATAGTCCGTCCAGGATGGCGTTGCACGAAATAATACAAATAGTAGTCCTTACATTCTATAGGACACATCAAACGGCATTCCGTTATATTTTGAGCAAGTTCTTGGATATAAAAAAGAAAGTTGAAAGGTAAGGAAATATATTTCAATTATTCTGATTTCCAACCTACGTTGCTTTCGTGTTATATCCACGATTTTGGGTTGCGATATACCCAGTTCGTCTATCAAGCTTTGCAATTTCATTTCCGGCGTCTGCATAATAAAGCGTGGCCGTTTACCAAAATTCCTTCCTAAGCATAGGAAGAAAAATTAGACAAAAAAAAAAAAAAAAACTTTTATTGTTATCACCGCAATCCAAAAAATATTCCAGAGATTTGTCTTTTTGCTTCTAATTCCCAGAAACAAGCTTCAGAGATCCTTAAAGTACATCCATTCTTGAAAAAGGAAACAAGGAATGATTCATTCAAGTGTTTTTAATGTGGCTTTAACTATGCGCGGTTAGTTGGCAAAGATGGAATACGTTTTGAAACGTAGATCCACATGTTTAGCTTCATCACCTAATTTCTCGCTGTAGATACTTAGAAAGTCTATGTAAAAACCGCGATCAGCATTTGTTAGATGACTTGTCTACTGTTAATAATATTTTTTGTCTTTTCTTGGATTGAGGTGATAGTTGTTTATGTAAACTTCTTACTTGCTCTAAATAACTTACTTACTTTGCATATGTTCGGGCAAGTCATGAACTAAAGTTAAGGTAGCAGAAAATACGAAATTTTGTCTGGATTGTTTCTTCTGATCATCCTTATTTATGATATTTAAAATGTTCCTCAATTCTTCGAAATGACCCTTCTCGACCATACGATCCGTTTCGTCAATTACGAGGAAACTAATTTCGTCCAGTTTACGCAAGTGTTTTTGATCTTGTTGAAATAGTTCCCAGAAACGACCAGGTGTAGCCACTATTATCTCGGGACCTTTATTCAATAAACGTTCTTGCTTATCTATGGATAAACCACCAAAAATTGCTGCTACTTTTATATCCGTGTACTTAGCAGCTGCCAATATATGATTTTTAATTTGTACGGCCAACTCTCTGGTCGGCGTTAATATTAAAGCATACAAAGGTTTTGAATCATCGATCTCAGCGCTATCGTTATCACTTAGATCGCTGTCATTCGGATAAGGAATATTTTCTGAGAACATTCCGTCCACTTTCTTCTTTCTAAATTTATTTTTATGTTCGCTCTTATGCAAGGGCTTTCTAATCCCCGTTGAAATATTTTTTTCTTTCAATTCCATTATACCGGTCAGCACAGGTATCCCGAAAGCTAACGTTTTACCGCTACCAGTTTCAGCAGCTCCTAGGATATCTTTTTTACCTAAAATAGCAGCAGGCAAAGTCAAACGTTGTATTTCCGTCGGTGATTTAAAGCCTTTCTCGGCTAAAGCTTTCAATATGGCATTAGGCACACCCATACCAGCCCATCCCTATGATAGGTATATTGTAAATTTGGAATCTGTAATATAACGGTAAGAACTTACCTCCAAATCATCGATATCATGAAAATCATCTACGTCCGAACATTTCTCTGCTTCCGTTACTTTTTGCTCAACATTTTCTTCAATGTAATTTGGCGGAGGTCTTATGAATTTAAAACGGTCTTCTGGTTGACAATGTTCCGCATTTTGGTTGCGTTGCTGTTTACGTTGTTTCTTTTTGGTTAAGCGTTTGTTCAATTTCTTAGCAATTCGCTCGCGATATGTTTGCTTTTTGTTCGGCGGTCCAAATTGATTTTCTTCATCTTCGCTATCAGAAGCCGTAATGTGCTCGTTTGATTCAGTGAAGGGTTTTTCTGGTTTTTTGCTTTTCGTACGATTATAATTTTTCACAAATTTCGTCTTGAAGATAATAATGAATAGATTTTTAATTTATCAAATGAAGCGTCATTTTACCCGTTTACCTGTTTCGTTTCTATCAACGTTGAATCATAATCTTTCAGTATTTCCAAACCTATTAGCCCTTCCAATCCTATATTTTCTTCAGACATAACATTACCTTTAATTTTAACTTTAGCCCACTTAGATCTTCCAAGCCCGCCATTAATTACTTTTGGCATGTTGGATGTTTTCGGTGCCTTTAATTTATTTTTTAACATACTTTGCACGTGTTATTGTTGCTTCTTTTCTTTCTTTTTTTTTTGATAACTGCGGTGTAAGCAAGTAACAGCTTGCTTTTGACATTAGCAGAACAACAAACAAAATATAAACAATTCGAAAATAATGACTTTAAGCAAATTTAGGAATTTCCTAAGTATTATGTATATGGGGCCTAACACAATGACGGGTTATTCCCATTTGCGTGTTGAGACTTCAAATTTGCCGCCTTTTTACAAAACTTTATGGGAATTGACAAATCATATGGTTAGGCATAAGCATATGCGAATGAAAAAAAAATAAGAAAGCAATGCACATTGATGTGTTGGCTGCCCTTCTTGGCTAATGGGTACGTACGATTAATGCCATACGAAGTTAACACTTTCAAGCCGGTTTTCCAGTGACGCTCGGCAAAGAATGATTAGGCACCGTAATGGGGGCATTTGAAATCTGAGAAAGTTGACCTAATGCAGTTAATTGAGAAGTTTTCCGTAAGCCCAGAAATAGGGTTCATAGTGTTAGAGGGCATATCAAACCACTTTACTTTCATAAGAACTTCCCTGTCATGTTCCTTCTAAGACGCTTTGAAAGAATCTTCAGGAAATTTGCATTAGAAAAAGTGCGGTAGTGTCTAAAATTAATCCTGACACATTGAATGATCATTCTCTAAATCCAATTATAGTAATAGCAAGGGTCTCTTGCATGTGAATCATTTGAATCTCGAATGTGGTTGCGTGCTAGCTTTAAGCTCGGCATGATTCATTAAACATGATATATATGTGCGCTTCAAAGCTTCAGTAAACCTATTCGTTCTCTATTCTGCCTACATTCTTCAGATGACTGTGCGATAATGCAGATTCTTTCGTCCATCCCATCGATGTAATCGAGTGTAAAATATCTAATCTTATATTATGTCGCAAGCTTGTATGCTCATCTTCATCATGCTTTATGATGTGATGGTATTGATGCACCATTAAGATCGCACGGATGACAGCCCGTGAAGTATTTTTTGCTCTCACAATGAATAATTTCTAAGAGTTTTGAATGTGATGTCAATAATAACGCATATGATGATGATTTATCGGTGATTAGAACATCGTTACGCATCTGATGATGATTTATCGGTGATTAGAACATCAGTGATAAGTCTGATCTTTCCTCGCAATCTACGTTCACGAAGATTATGAAATTTCGATAATTTATTACCCTTTAAAAATTATTTCATAATAGAGGCATGATTAGTATTAGAAAGGTGCAACAAAAGGTATCATAGAATAGGAAACAAAATAGACAAAGTAATCAAAGAATTATATAAAATAATATATAAAAAAATTGTTATTGTCGTTGATTACGTTACTCTTGAAAGAGTTTTGCGAAGAGAAATGTCATTTGCTGACTTAGTCTCGGAGAATCTTACCTATTACCTACTAAATTAAGGATCATCCGAAGGTCGCGCAGTAATTAAGAAAATGCTTGGCGGCTTTCACATTTTGTTCAACCTTGCCATACCTTACCTTAGATTTATGTCGGCTTTGAACTAATTGAAATTATGCCACTTTACATACATACGTATATAGTGGCATAAATGCCACTTTATATATATATATATATATATATATATATGTATATATGTGCATTTTTTTGCGCAATAGAATTTGCCGTCTCCGTCCGTGCGTTTCCGCGTTGAAAACATGAGAATATGTTTTTTCTTTAAATTCAAAAATTAATAAAGTGAATTTAACATATGAACATTGATTGTAGCGCGTGAATATTTCTTTCATATTTTGTAATCAAATATTGAACCGAGTACGTAAATGGAAATGCATGACCCCATTATCATATTTAGTGCTTTGGGTTTAACGGTTTGAAAAATTTGGGCAAAATCACATATAAGTTTGCCTTTTTAGTGCATTTGATGTGATTGGTATAAAAGATTCAAATAGTTAGGCAAAGTACCTTCCTTCCTTCCTTCCTTCCTTGATCATACCCTGTTATTTTTCGAAATTTTTATTATTTTTATTTTTTGTATTAAATATTTTTCATTACACTTTAATACATTCATACTTTTCGTTACATTTTAACAATTGCTTTACAACTAATTAAGCGAGAATTCCGGAGATATGTTTATATGTGTATGTATAGAGTTTAGATAAGTTTCTAGGCTAAGCCCATCTTCTTTTTTAAGGATTCGGGCATTTCTGGTGGTGGTGGTCGCGGCATACGCAAATATACTTTAACAGCATCATAGATAAACCATTGAGCAGCAGTTAAGGTACCAATCATTACGATCCTAGGCAGTAAACCAGCCCACATACCTTAAAGATAAGTAAGATATTTATATATTTATATATTTATATATTCATAAAACGATGTCGACACTTACCAACGAGACCCAATTTTTTGGCTACATCAAAGGCCGAGGCTCCTTTTTCTTGATTCAATTTTGATACTACAGTATCGGCAGGATGTGAGACAATAGCGCAAAATACACCGGCTATATAACCGGCGGCAAATGTAACTACCAACTGCTCGCCTTTGGAACATTCTGCACGTGGCTTAGGCACAACATATCTAACAACAACAACAACATTAATTGAAATTTATACGATTCAAATTGCTTGTTATGAAGCTTACTTGTATAACAATTCCAAAGTTCTTTCGAAGCAAGCGAACTTCATCATTGTGTAGGGTATTTGACGCATCCATAGCGGCACTAAACCCTTGTAGAAGGCAGAAATACCTTCTTGCGATGCCATTTTCGGCAAAGCTTCTCTCAGTGTGTTGGCGAAACCAGGTGTAGTTTGAATTTTCACTTTAGCCGCCTCCATCGGTGACAAAGCAATATCAGCGAAGAATTCAGCCGAAGCAGAAGATACCAAATATAAAGTTGTCCTATATAGATAGGAGTTTTCTTCACCAATTGCATTGGAATAGAAAACTTTGAATACTTCGTAGAGACCGAATTTGAAAAGGCCTTGCATTGAATAGCCGATACAAGTAGGAGCCCAACCCCTGAATAAACCTCTACTGCCATCTTCTTTTAAGGTTACCCGGAAACCGTTTGCTACACTTTTATATTTTGCAGCATCGACTTGCAAACGGCACTTGACCAAATCCAATGGGGTCACCATAGTGTGGGTAGATCCACAAGAGATAATACCACCCAGACCGCACAGCAAGAAAAACTTATTTGAACCAAACTCACAGGAATCTGAAAAATCAAGAAAGAAAATTTCAATCTTTTTCGTGGAACTTATCTTGAGAACGAACAACTTTACAACTAAAACTTATAAAAATTATATTAAAATTCTTCTCGAGCTATTTGCTTAATGTAATGTAATTTAGCGTGAAAATTTTACATGATTTTGACATATATTTGTATCAAATTCTAAATCGATATATAACGATTTGGAAGATTTTTTAGTTCTTGTTTCTTTATCTATTGTAAGCTCATATTGACAGGCAAATCTATTGCCTGAATATTAAAATCTGATGGACTGATGGACGGACCGACATATGTGCGTAGCGAAAGTGATTTGCTAGATTTGATTATACATGGACAGTGGACGTAATAATTAGTAATGAAATCAAAAACTCATTGAGAACTTACCACCTGTGGTGGCGGCGGCTGCTGCTTGTATTACATGGGTGTTCGGTACAGCTACATCTTGTGGAGCTTCTTCGCAGTTCACCGTACTAAAGCCCTTCTTAAAAGGCGAATTTTGAGATGCCTCTATTAACGAGGAAAAAAGCATAGTGTTGAGTTTTTAGAACTGAAAAAGGCAAAGAAATAAAAAAATTACTCGTATATTATATATGTATATTATAATGGATAATAATTATAATTTTATATCGAAGATTTCGTGATTGTTACTATTTCTTAATCTTTCACTGCAATGACCATCAATATCTATTCAATCGAGAAAATCTTTCGCATAAGATTTTACAAACAACTTTTATCATATATTTAAGGGTTAAATGTCTTATCGTTAATGTTATATCGTTATATGGAATCTAATATTAATTGATCTAAAAAGTGCTAAGCTTTTAGGAGATGAAAATTTATAAATATTATCGCATGCTCGCTTATGGAGAGAGATGTTCGCAATTAATTTTATATTTTCTATTATTAAGCTCAACACTTTATCAGATTTTATAGATTGTATCGAGATGTGCTAGGTAAAGAGATTTCTTTTATCATTTCAAGTAAGTAGATTATTTTTTTCATTTTGATAACAAAAATTAAAAAAAAAAAAATTTAATGACTGATCATGGTTATGACCCTTTCTCCGGTAAATAAATAGTCATTTTAATCTGTAACTCCAGCGGAAAAAAAAATGCGGTTTTCAAAAATGCTTAAGAAAAATGTTTCAAGCGAAGATCCTTCAAATCTAAATGAAGGGCGTTTTTGTTTGTAGTGAAAAAGAAATCCTTTGAATGTAATTAAAAATCCTTGCAAAATTTTACGCCATTTCCCAGCGAAAGGATGTTTTAGCTAACGAAAGCTGATATCATTTTATTGAAAAGCTTATTATTGCTCGTCTTAACATAAACGTTGGGAACTAATTTCTAATAGAAAAAAGTGCGGTTAAGCGCCAAGTTTGCCAGCTTCTCAACTAAACAAGTGAAAATTCTTTTTGAGTCAGAATATTCGCCCGAACGAAAACTTAAATAAATTGTGTTATGGATAAACTTTATTTAAAAAATTTTAACAATTAACGATCTTTCTAAAGAAAAAAAAATAAATTTTTCATTTATGATTCTGGTTTTCAATAATTTTAATCTATAAACACATTATTAAAAGGAATTTTTGAATATTTTAATATGAAGCACTGTTCTTACAGCATTTTGAATAAGAAAATTTGTATTGTTATACATATGCAATAAATTTATTTTTTTTTATTTTTTAAATATAAACAAGAAAATTTATATTTTCGGTAATTTTCATTAATAGTTTTCCAATAACCAAAACACTTTAGATCAATACATTGCGGCCTTCTGCATGTTTCTTTGATAAAATTCAATGACGTATTTTTTTAATTTTTTTTTATTTAAGATGTATAGATATAGATAAACAGAAATTTTAAGGTTATTTGATTGTTTGGTAATCTGCCACGAGAATGATGTAACTTATTAACATTGTTTTATCTTATAATTAGCATTGCATTGAAGGTCATTAACACCGAGAGAAATGAATTGACGTAAAGTTCATTAGCAATATATGTTAAGTTTATTCAATTAATTTTCTTTAATTGGAAAATTAATTAAATAAAATTATCAACACTTCCCATCACTAATGCATATGAAAATCGAATAAATTTATTATTTGCTTGAACGCCAGTGATCACTAAAAATTCTATTGCATAACTTTTGATATCTATACGTTATGAGTAAGTTTTCCTTCTTAATGGAACAAAATTTTAATACACAATTTATTTGAAATATTGCTTAGCTTTTTTTTTTTTTTTCTAAATATTATTTTTCAACTATTTTTCTCCAGAAAAACCCACTTTTACTTAACAGGAATTAAATAATAAAACAAAAAAAAAATTGATTTTTTCTCGAACCAATTAAAAGTTTCGTTTATTGAATTCTGCGTTTTCTAACCGAAACGCTCGTTAAAAACTCAACTAAAGAACTGAAATGAAATTCCGAATAAAAAGAATTGAGAACATTTTCTTAAGGCATTTCGCTATTTTAAAGAGTAGCAAATCTTTTAGTTAAGATAATTTTTTTTCGTTCTCATTAGGTTCTACCGAAAGGAGAAAGCTACATTAGTTTTAATGAGAAAAAATTTGAATTTCTTTATTTAAAAATAAATTCATTAACACATGCAGTGATTTGACGTCAAGGTCATATCGTGCATATTGATGAAGGAGAAGCAGAGGATTCCAAAACAAAACAATTAATTACTCTTTGCACTCGCATCCTTTTAAAACGATATTGCATTTCGTATAATTTTCTTTATTATATTTTTCATTTTTTCATATTTTTATATTTATTTAAAAATAAAAAAAAAAAAAATAATAGAAAAGAAGTTTGTTACAATTAGTTTTGATTTTTGCAATAATACTTCAAAAACATAAGTACATTTTACTTAAAATTATCATTACTTTAAGTGCTCTGAACACGCATACAACAATTACAATTACAATAAAGGAAGTACTTTATCTCTTGACTTAATATAGTTTTAACTAAGCAAGATGGAAATGGCAATGCTATACATATACGTACATATATAGCGGGCGGGAGAGAGAGAGTTAACAAAATCATTTCGTTTGTGTCTGTATTAGTTGAACAATTATAACTTAAATATTAAAAATGCTGGCAAACATGAAACATTACGAATATATTCGATATTTATATTTCACTCTTATAAGCAGTGAAATAGTTGATGTATATTATACAACAAAGAAGCATTTTGATTTGCCTTTTTGCTTATGCTCTGCAAAAATTGTTAAGCGCTTGGCTATGATTCGAAAGTTTCCATATGCCTGTGTACGGTCACCGGAGCCAAAATAAGATGTGTAGCCCCTGGGACATGAGCTAAATCATCATGATCATCCATCTGTTCATACGCACGGGCGGGTGAATGATATTTTTTAGGTGAAGTTAAATTATGTTTAGAGCCTTTATTAGGCAATCCCACGCTATTGGAATGAATTTGTTGCTGCTGTTGCTGTTGTCTACTAGTAGGCGAAGATATAGAAGTTGATATTGACATTGTATCCGATTTGCTATACCTCTTATCGTTAAGCAGTAAGGGCTCAGCTAAAGTGAAACATTGATGATCCGAGGAATCTTCATGAGGAGTCATTGTGGAATAACCATGATCTGATTCACCGTTAGGCGGTCGCCTGTAACTGCTCCCCGTACTCATGTGGTATGGCGATATATCGGCGGCATTTAAAAGATTTCTTTGCACATTTGCTTGATCGTATCCTCCTCCTCCGGCAGTCCCTCCGCCACCACCACCTCCTGAAGACTCGTCGTGAGCCTGACAGTCATCAAAATTGAAACGTGATAATGGTAATCCGTAATTCTCTTCTTGCATTGAATCTACATAGAATTGTTCTTGTGAAGAACTGTCTATATTTTGGCGATAACAATAAACGGCTAAGCCTATAACTAAACTCAAAACGACAATGGCACCCCCTATAGGCCCGAAAGCTGAGTAAGAATTATACTTCTGATCGGGGCTATAACCGTGGGCAGCCATTAAATCGACATCATCTAAATCACCATATGGCGACGTGCCAGCTAAAACACCGTTAAAGCAAGCAGTTTGAGTGCTGCAAAAAGCGGTTGGAAATTCATCGCCTTCCATATCTTGTTGGCACCATTCACAACCCATAACCGCCAAACAATCCTTTTGATTGCCGAACACATCGCAATTGATATTTAGGCAAGGCGGTAATAGCAAGTATTGATGACTACCACTAAATCCTTCTGGAATCGGATAAAACTCTTCGTTGGGTGGCTCACAGTACATGAATTGCTGAGATATATTTAAGAACATTGAGTTTGGCCATAACTCATTATCCCCATTGTCGTCATTTTCTGTTATAGTAGCCATAGGACATTCGCAAGGACACTCACAATCCATTTGATCCATACGCTTGCAATTCAAACAAACGCGATCAATAGTGCTGCAAGGACAAAAAGCTCCTCCATCACAAGTGGAGTTCAAAACGGCAGCAAATATATTTGTTCCCCTCAGCAAAGTGACGGCGTATTTGGTGCGTTCCCCATGAACTACATTTGTAAGTATCTCGTTCAACGACGTATTGAACACATAATACCGTTGTAAGGTATGATTTTGGTAATTAGCGCAGGCCAGCTTATGTACCAAGATTTTATGATTTAAAATATCATTGGCAAGATAAGATTCTTTGTGTGTTATATGCTCATAAGGACGTCTATGATTTCGGATACGAGTTCTAGGCTCCAACATAGAAGGATGGGCGATTAGATAACCTTCATTTTCAAAAAGTAAACATTTTATATTAGGCAGTTGACACAAAGGCGTTGAATCCATTATCATTTTATAGAAATAGGAATAAGTCATATCTAGGGCTACTATAGCCACGGGTTTGTCACGTTCAAGGGAATGCAATGCATTCGATTTGCCCTCAAAAATCGTATGAGCTATTGTTACAATATAACCAGAACCTGCTGCATCTAAATATGGTTGAGTGGCTACTATTGTGCCAGGATGTTGCATAGCTTTGCGAAACCACGGACGCCTAGAAGGATCAAAGTTGTGATTTAACAAACATCCGGGATAAATTTGCAAAACACCATTAACGGAAGCTATGTAGCGTCTTATAATATATTGACGCAAAGAACCTCTACTGTCCTGATGTCTTTTCTTTAAATATTGCATTGCTTGATGTAATAGATTTACTTCTTGACGTATTTGCGGCTTAAGGCCAGGATTAGCCAGTAATCTTGTAATATCTTTGAGATAAGCCATAATGCTTTCCACAGTACGCATTTGATTTTGGGCAGAACTCATGCGATTGTTGTAGAGAAAAGTGAAGGGTGACTCAAAAGCGATCGAGCTTAGGAATAAAGTTGCGCCATCTGAAAGCGGAAAGGGAATGTAAACATATTGCAAATATTTGATGAAAATTGCCATCTTCTTACCCATGGTAGCTAATTGTCGAAAATATCTGCATAGGCTAATTGATCCTCGTAAAGGTAACAAATCTAAACGGTGATATATTAAGTTCATTGCGGTTATCTGCTCCTCAAGGTCATTTCTTGGCACTGAATATAAAGGTAAATTTGCGTGCTTGCTAAATTGTTTCAAAGTTAATGGCAAAGAAGCTGGTATTTGTAGGACAGGATTATAGTTAATATCCTTATGATTTTCTGAGGTTATGGTCGTCTTTGCCTTACGCGTTATTACCGTGCACAATATATATATATTCTCTACATTTTGCCAAAGATAAATTCTTAGCATTTCCAAAGATTTTTGATTCTTTGCTAAATGCAATGAGGTAATGGCTTGGCCACTTTCTTCTTGTAATAGACGTTGTCTGATTTTGAAAAAATCAGTGGAATTTTCTAAATATCCAATGTCAACAGGAAATGGGGCTTGATTTTGTGCATTCGGTTGTGCTAAGGCAGGATGAACTAAAGCATTACCGTTCGTTTCCAAAAGGAAAGCGTAAACATATTCATTTTGCTGATTCTGTTGCTGTTGATAACTTAAAACGTCCTCCGTTAAATCGGAGAGATAAAGATCAACGCCCACAATACCAAAAGGGGGTACGGTATGAGTTATGGAAACCAAAGAATCTGCAGATCATAAATATAACAATTTTGGAATTTGATTGAGCGAAATATATGAACAATTATACCTTTGCATTTTTTATCATATATTGGTGTGTGTACTTGCCGAGATTTCGCTAGAAACGGTTCACGAAAATCTTTTGCGAATACGCCAGTGGCTACTTTTGATATCTTTTCCGATTGCCTTTTAGTCAAAGTAAAAAACTTTCCATCTAACGATAGATTCGATTTGAACCACTCATTAACTTTGATATCGTATTTGGAATAATTTTGGTTCGCTATATCACTAAGAAATTGCTTTTCATACATAATACGTTTCTCATCTGGAAAGTATTTAAAATCATAATAAAAGTAAGAATTAATAAGACAAAATTTTAAAAGCAACAATTTACCTAAAACTACAGCACAAGCGTTAATTATAATTGGATGCAGCAAAGCTTTTTGCCCTTTAGCAACTACTTCGAGTACGTGTTTAGCATCGGAAAAGTTGTTTAATAATCCACGGGTTATGTACACAAATTCGATAGGCTGGCTTTGTAAAGAGATTAAACTCAAATTTTGAAGTCGCGCCAACATTTTAAAGGCAAATTCAAAACCCAAAGAATGATTGGTGAGAGTTTTGCTTAGAGATAAGTTATTGATAAAACTAAGAATCTCTTCTTTACGCTCTCGCGTAGCTTTATATAAGCCGTGGGCAGAATCTTGAGCAGAAGCTTCTAACAATAACATATTTTCCACCTCATCGGACACCAGAACCAGAGAAATTAAGTCATTTGAAGATAATAAATGCAGGATATTAGTTACTGTAGAAAAATAGAAAAAAAAAAGTTAGCTTTCATTAGATAGAATAGGATCGAATAATAATAACGGATTTTTGTTTTTCACACACATACCGTATTGTTTTGCCAATTCCCATAGTTCTGTACTCATTCCTGATCCTACGTCTAATAATAAAAAAAAATATTTATTTTCTATCGCTGCCGTGTAAAGATAGCGAAAATGCAAATCGTTATAGGATCGCAAACTGTTATCTGCGTCATCACTTCGAGATAAAAAGTAGATATGTTTTAAATGATTGCCTACCATCAGTTGTTCTCCTATACTGTCAGGCTTCACAATCATCATTTTTAACCCATGCAATTTCTTCCTTATGAAGGCATTCACTTCTAGGGGAGAGGTGCCGTCAATATAATTATTAAAATGCAATTTATCAGTCTTATCGTAGTTCAATATTTGTATTTGATGTTTATTGTAATTCTCTGGAGGCAATCGAGATTCGTAACAAGTCTCGATATGTGTATTCAAATACAAAGATTTCAAATGCAAATTTAAAGGCTTTTCTTCAATATCGTTTAAACCTAAATCGAATTCGGGTTTGAAATCATCCAACTGTGAAGATTTCCCAATTTCTTCATCCAAATCATCATCGTAATCGTTCGTAAATTTAATAATTTTTGTTACATTTGTTTGGAAGAATTCCCGTAACTCACTAAGTACGTGTAAAGCTTTTTTTAGCTTTTGCGATAAACGTTTTGTGAACAATTGTAAATCTTGCTGAACCTTGAATTCCAAGTTAGATGTATTTACTTTTGCTGATGCGTTAGTCTTGTTGAAAATAAAATGATGGAAAGATGGGCCCGCGAAATGCAAAGAATCGAAAATTTCCTTGAAAAAACAAAAAAAAAAAATTTGTTAAAAAACAATGTTAAAGCAAATATTATTTTTTGTGATGAATCAGAAATTACCTGCAAAGTCGCTACTCGCATTTCTATGCTGCGAATTTGTCGTAGTTTCTCATCAACATTTTTTATCAAATGGATAACATTTTGTTGATTGCTATTGTTGGAGGAATAAGTGTTGGATGGTATTTGTTGGTATGGATTTTGCTTTAAAGATGTCATTATTTCAATATTATTGTTACTAGTGTTGCTGTTTAACATAAAAGGCACTTTTTGACTATTTAGATTGCGCACAGTTTTAGTTTTAGTTAGCATAGCCACCTTCCCATCAAACCCTTTAATTGTAGCTTGATTGTTAGGTGTTAAAGGAACATTCGATTGTTTTACAATTATTTCACTTGCTAGGCTGTCCATTTGATGGTCTTCTTGCAATGTGGTTAAGACGACCACAATTAATAGGATAAACGATGTAGACGTCATAATTTCGATGGAAGAACATTAAAGAACGTTTAGTGGAAATGCTAAGAAAAGAAAAGAGTACTCATTAATTAAGTTAACCTTTTATTAAAGTCCTTTTCATATTTATTGGTTTTCTTTATTTTCCAATGTTTTCATTTTTTTTTTTCTTTTTTTTAACAGTAAATATTCAGCTCTCTCATCTTGCTTGTTTTGCATGTATTGGCACGATTTTTCACTACTCAATTTGTTACTCTTTTTTTTTTTAATTTTTTGTTTACTTATTTACAACCTTTGATGTTTGATGTTTTGCCGCCTTCTTCGCAAAATAAGTCACACGCACATTCATATATCAAATCTCATGTATTCAACAGAAACATTTTTGTAAATAAAATTTTTTATAAAATTCTTCTATACCTTAGTAATTCAACAATATAAAACTCATTAGTTTCATGTACTTCTTCAACTTTTAACAAGTTTTATTTAAAAAAAATTCACTTAACAATCATTAAATCTTATAAAAATTTATGTAAGCAGAGAAAAAAAGGAGAGTACTATAAAGCGATGCGACTATGCGAGTGGTTTATCGATTGCATACATAGGCAAAGATCGTAAATAAAAAGTAGAAGAAGAGTCAATTACGATAAATTAACAGAGAGGTAAATTTCTGCAGTATTTTACATAGCTCTATGATTATTTTTGGTTTGATTTAAATATGATTCGGAAAGTAGTGATCAAAAAATTAAACATATTCATTATTTTTTAACCACACGCACTAATTGACCTAATTCACTATACTTATACAAGGGATCATTAAGTTCGCCGACTTTGGTGTATTTTAATTGCGCGGTGAAATCTTGAGATTTAGCCTCATTTTCGTCTTGTGTAGTAGTATAAGAAACTTGTTGTATTGTATTATCTGGATTTAAAACAAAATATTGTCCTTTCGTTATTGCTTGACCTACGTTGACGTTATTATTGTTATTATTGTTATCTTGCAATTTGTTGTAATTTTCTAAAGCGTAATTTAAAGCCTGTAAAGCTTGCAATTTTTGCAAATCCTCTGTATTTATTTGCAACTGTTGTTGTTGCTGGGTATTATTTGTCTTCGGTACACCGTATGTTACTAACGGCGTTTGAACTTGGGGTTGGGGTTCTTCCTGAATGTTATTTAGAAATGAATTTTGTGTCTGCGTTTCTTCTTCAAATTGTTGATAATGTTGTTGATAGTGCGGTTGATCTTGATAGAGATCGTTGTGGCGTTGTATGTTTATAAAGGTTGGTTGGCGTTGATGTGGAGGTGGTAAGTAATTGCTATGCGGTTGCTGTTGTGCAGGTAAACGATATGTTTCACCTCCTGCATAATCTACGCGTTGCCTGGTAATTTCATAGCCAGACGGGCCTTGCGAATGGTGATTCGGATGATGACGGCTAGGCGGCAAATAACGACCGGGTAAAGCGAATGGTCGTTGCGGACGCCAACCTGAAGGGGGATAGGGTGCTCTGTTCGGTAAAGGAGCTTCAGCCAAACAGGTTGAAATAATTATTGACACCAGCGGTAACTGAAAAGTTTGGTGTTAGGATTTATGTAAATTATATAACGAAAAACCAACTTACTATTACAAACATTTTAAACATTTTAAGCTATTTTAAGCTATGGCTCGTCTGCTTAATAGGTTGAAACTGTTATAGAAGTTCTGATAACGTGTAGATTTTATATTCAAATTATTATGGTGCGTTCTTATAAAGGTGTTTGCCAAAAATTTTTAAATCACATTCCAAACACGTTTATATTATTATTATAGTGAAATATAATGTGTGTGTAAGCTTCTGCCATTGAAAGTATTATAGAGGACGAGTTCATTTGCTTAATCTCAAACATTAAATTTCTCATTTTAATTATATTTCCTAACTATTAATTCACTTGTTATGAAAGAGTGAACATAGAATTTTAGTTTACGATAAAAAATAAATAAAATAAAATAATATTTAGAGTCAAATATGATCTTAGCTTTCGATTTGTCATCTCAACTGGCGAGTTATAACATTGACCCAAACACACCTAAATATGTTCAAGTCATTGGTTAGTTTTTTTTTTTTTGCAGTTGCATTTTGGCAAGCGCTTATGAAAAAAAGGAATTATAAATAAATTTATCGTGTTAATGTCTATTTATAATTGTAGGTTTTTCCGAGTGTTTTTGCTTATAAAATAGAAAAAGAAAAAAAACGATTGCTTTTAAATTTCTGCTAATTCATAACATTATATGCATTTGCTAACAGCGAGAAAGAGTTGGAATATAATTTAATTTGTTTCTTTTCGTACGTCGATTTACTACAGACTGATATAAAATATAATAAATGTGCTTCACGTTTGTGTAAACCGAACTTTTCAAGGGCTTACAAACATCATGCTTCATGCATGCTTCACGATAAGGCAGCAAATACAAACATTTTGGCATGGGATCAGAAGCCATAAAAACGTTAACCTTTTTTTTGTGCAGACAATAGCAACAAATGCAGGGTAATTGCTGTCAAGTATTTTAAATTGTTTTTATCTTGTCTCATTGTTTTTAACTTTTCTTTTTGTCTATTAATGCAATAGAGTTCTGTCATATTTCATAGTTTTATTATGCAGTCGAGTCGCAGGTGTATTGAATGTTTGGAGCTTTGACCTATATTTTTCATTATATACATTGGCTACAATTTTCGGACAAGCTGAGCTGGTTTATTTTATTTACTAAAAATTCATATTAGAACTTTCACCGAGAAGTGATGGTATACTAGATTTGCGATCCTTTGTTATATACTAAGGGATAATAGTCAAATTATAAAATGTATTTATATTCTTGATCAAAGCACGTTTATAATGTGATTAGGTATACAGTTTTAAAAACTCGTCCAGTCCAGTAGTTTAAAAACTGATGTGTCCCTGTGCGTGTGTGGGTAAACAAAACTCTATAATTGAAAATCTTTCGCAAAATTTAAAAAGATTTCACATATTAAATTTCGCTTAAAAATGGTCTTAATTTGCCGCTAGGCGCCTCCTCAATCAATACGAAATTTTGGAATTATTTTAAATTTTTTTTTAAAATAACGTGTGCCTACGATCCCTACTATGGCTAAAATATTTTCCTATTGGCCACTTACTGGCTTATTAACGAATAAAACTCTGGACAATTTTCGCCTAAAAGTGGGCTTCTCTTTCAACAATTCCATGTAAACTAGTGGGCTGATCATAAAAGCTTTCGAAATCGTTGTTCATTCCACAAGGTCACGAAGGGCAAGTGATGATGTGAGCCTATCGCGTACGTGCCTTTCGCAAAAGTATAATGAATTTGCGACGAGTAGATTGTCGCAGGCATCTAACTGCGAAAATTGAACGCTCCCGTCGTTAAAGCTGATGTTCATTTTTCATTTTAAAATCAACCTTAGCATTGCGATCAATTTTTGTTCGATAGCTTACGTAGTAAGTAGTATTAGCTTTATTTGGTGTCGCCACCGACATACGCTACAATCGAATTATCGAAAACGAAGTTTGATAAGAAAACTCATTAATGCAAACGTCGTGGTAAATACAGCGTTTCGTTTATATATAAATTTCACTTTATAATATTGAATGGGCGTGGCCAATTATTTTGTTAATTTTTGTAGAATATAAGTGGAAATTCTTATCGTTTGTCTAGTGTGTTATAGTTTCAAAGTACAGTGAAGATAGGGCTGCTCACAGCTTGTCTTGCACTGTGGGCGTACTTTTAACAACAGCCTGGGCGGAAGAAATTCTAATCTTCTTGCCAAATTCGAAGACAACATCTTCATTTTTGTGGCCAGGGGAATGCTTAGAACAGACATAACATGAACATTACAGTTCTGCATGAATTTTGGTTCAATTTCTCGCGTGTAAAGAAATTTATAAATGTGTTTGTTGCGATGGAGGTTCTTCACAGTTCCATAACGCATCTCTGCCTCGAATTTTGGTTCGATTGCGTCCTAACTGTCCAAGATACGGAATTACTTTCTGATTGTGAATCGAGGTAGGATTTGCTAGGCGTACGAATCTACAAACACTTTCTTTAATGATAATAACCTTAAGTAATGTTAAAAAAAATTTTTTGAATAATGTGAATGTGATAGGTGAGACAATCAAAATATTTAACTACATAATTTAAATGATCCTGAAAGGCTCACCATGATCCGATTACAGTTAAACATGTGTTGCGCCCGGTTTTTAATAAAGTCGAAGATATTCTTGCAAAACTTCAGAAAGATCTCAATACAACGCTGCAAAGAAGAAGTTCAACATATAGATACCATGTAAATGAAGTGAAAGGTATGATGGAAAGAAATTCCAGCTAGGGGACCCTGTGGAAAAGATACAAAAGTAGGTTACACAAGACGATGCTTGAAACGATGAACGAGATCGTTCAAACGGTCGTATGTGTGCGTTGGTGACTTTTTAAGGACGCGATGTATCTTCCATTAGCTGCTCCAGCTGTAACGAGGAAAAATCCAAAAATTTTTCTTAAAAAAAAATGAGCTGAGGCTTCTGCTTCCTTTTTACAGTTAAATAAATGTTGACCATAGGCAATATAATACACAGGCAGGCAGACAGACGGACGAACATGCTTAAATCGATTTAGAATTTCATGCTGATACTGTGATCGCTGATGCATCCTTCTGGGCGTTGCAAAGGTTTTGGCAAAACGAATGCATGCCTCATCCTTCGGTGATGGGTATACAAAATATAATGCATGAGCCGTTATATGTAAAAGTGATGGAAGCCATTTTTAACAATAAAATTAATTATTTATTTAGTAAATATGCTATTAATAGGTTTTTGGGGTTATGAACATTATTGATTTAAACGCAATCCGTTAAATATCTCAACTTATCAAAGAACAAAACTTTCATGTATTGTGCAGAGTGAATTAATGAATTCTTTATTTCTTTATAAAATTTGTTTGTCTGTTTCGATCTTTGCTTGAAAGCTTGTTTCTCAATCGAAATATTTGAAATTTATCGAAAAAACTTCTAAAGTGCAAAGAGAGGAAGGAGAGAGAAGGAATGCTTTGGAATGAAACAACTATAAAATTAACTTTGTTTTATACAAAATATGCATTTTTTTCTTTATTAGATTAATTAAATAGAAAGGAATGAATTTTTTTATGAAATTTTTCTTTGAATTGTCTTCATTTAAAAAAATAACTAAAATGTGTGTGTGTGTGTATGTGATTGTGCATAGAAAATAAGTACTTAATAACAATTAAACCGTATATGTACAATAAAAAGCTTTTCTATGTGTTCCTTGATTACAAACAAAAGCTTATGGCAAGTGTTGGCGGCATTAGAACAAAGCAGGTTTAACGGGTTATAAATAAGGCTAAAAGTTCTCGAAGAGAGAAGGATATTAAAAGGAGAAAACATCACTAAATAAAAAACGATATTAACGCATAACGACTGTTTGTTTTGTAGGATGTGTGTTTAACATTATACAACTAATGAGTTAATGAAATTTGTAAATCTAAAGCAAAATAAATGCAACGATCCGTTCGTCTTTGTTTAAGGATAACCGGCGAAACCCCCTTTCCCGCCTTGTCCATCAAAACCGCCACCACCGCCACCGCTGTAACCGCCGCCTCCGCCACTGTAACCACCACCTCCAGGGCCGCCACCACCGCTGTAACCACCACCAGCACCGCCACCTCCTCCTCCGCGACCGCCGCCTTCGTAACGAACCATCGGGCGATATCCATTATAATCAGCTTCATATTCGACTATTTGTTTGCGACCATCAGGTAAGAGGACATAGTAACGGCCAACAGCCAAATCACCATCTCTGGATTCCATATGACCGAAATCGTTGCCTGATTCGTAATCCTGAACGTCGTATTTGAAGTCGTATTTGGCCGGGCCATAGTTTTCGTCGCCTCCGCCGCC